TTGCACGCTGCGCCCCCGGGGTCCGCGGGGAGAGGGCGCGGCGGGGGAGGGTGCACCTTGCCGGCGTAGTGGTGGACGACGAAGCCGGCGCTCCAGCTGTTGAAGTGCTCGTGGGTGCCCACGGCCGCCTGCAGCTTTTGCAGCAGCGTCTGGTCGGCGCCGCCGCCCGTGGCGTGCATGGTGGCGCACACGTCGTCCAGGACACTCATGATGCCAGGCGGGCTCTGCAGGGGGCGCGGGGAGGCGCGCAGGGGTCAGGCTGGCCTGTCCCGCCCCATCCCGCGGCCTGCACGGAGACCAGGGGGGAAGGGGGGGGTGGTGGGCTACCGTGGGAGGTTGCTGGGGCGCAGGAGGAGACAGGGGACCCCATCAAGGATCCGTGCCTCTTTCCCTTCCCCAGTCCCCTCTGACCCTGAGCAGGGTGGCACAGCGGGATGTTTGTTGAGTGAATAAGTGAAAGGTGAGCAGGTGGGGGGAGTGAACGGATGAGGTGGCCCAGGGGTATCTCAGTTGTACTTCCCCCGAGGGTACCATATCCTCCTCCCGGGTGTCCGGGGCTCAGTGAGACCCCCAAAGGTGGCCCAGCCCTCACCAGCTTGTTTTCAATGAGGTCGCAGACGACTTTGTTGTTGAAGAACTGAATGGGGGTCCAGCGGATGCCCTCCTGGACATACTCCTCCTGGGGGTGGGCAAGGGGCCGGGGTGAAGGAGGTGTGGCCTATGACCCCCCACCCCGTCTCACCCCTGAAGACTCTCTCTGGCAGCAAAGTCCCCTGCCCCTGTTGGGGAGGTCAATTGCCAGGGAATTACATTCACCAGCAATGGAAAGGAGCCGGTGAATAAGCACCCGAGCTCCCTCCCTCCCTCTGGGTACTTTTCACAGCCCAAGTATCCACAGGCCCCAGCAGAAATGAGTCCAGCTGCCGACAGCATACCTTCCTCCTGAACACCTGACATAGATTCTTTATTTTAAAAAATCAGGCCAGGTGTGGTGGCTCACACCTATACTCTCAGCACTATTGGGAGGTAGAGGCAGGAAGATCACTTGAGCCCAGGAGTTCGAGACCGGCCTGGACAACATAGCGAGATCCCCGACTCTACAAAAAAAATAAAAAAATTAACCTGGCGTGGTGGTGTGTGCCTGTAGCCCCAGCTACTCGGGAGGCTGACATGGGAGGACTGCTTGAACTTGAGCCTAGGAGTTGGAGGCTGCAGTGA